AAAGCTACTTGGTTTCCTTTCTTCTACAGATACTTGACTCCATAACACTATGTATGAGAACTCGTAACACTGCTAGTAAGAACTCAGAGGAAGTGTGCAGCATGAGAGAGAAAACATATATTGTCTTAGAGAATACTATACCTAAGTCATCGAGAACAGACTGGAGATAGAAAAATAGTCATTAAAGGCATTGCCAATGAATGCTCAGAAGGAAATGAGGAACATGTCACTGGAAACTAGAGGCCAGGGAATCCCTGTTATATAGTAACAGAAAATTTGTCTGAATTAAGTGTTGCAGTTATGTGGAATACAAAACTTACAAATGATAAACTTAGACATTTAGTTGAGGAAATTTCCAAGCAAAGCGTTGAAGGTGTAGTCTGGTTTCTTACTATTTATAGTAAATATGAGAGGAAAAAGAAAGATTGGTAGAGAACTGGTAAGCAAAGAGGAATAAGGACGTGATAATTCAGGAAATTCTCAGCCTATGCAGACTACAAAAGAGACTAAAATTAAGAGAGTTGCTGTCAGTTAAGTGTGTTCTGCACAGAAAGCCAAGGTTGCAGAGCTGGATCGATTTTCACTAGTTCCTTGGAAAGATCAAAAGTCAGGGTCAAAAATAAATTTGAAGATGTTATGCTGCTGTCTTTAAAGAATGGGCTGGCTGGGTACAGTGGCTCATGCCTGTAAAACTAACACTTTGAGAGGCTGAGGTGGGCGGATTGCCTGAACTCAGGAGTTCCAGACCAACCTGGGGAACATGGTGAAACCCCATCTCTACTAAAATACAAAAAATTAGCCAGGCATGGCAGCATGCACCTGTAGTCCCAGCTGCTTGGGAGACTGAGGCAGGAGAATTGCTTGAACCCGCCTAGAAGGCAGAGGTTGCAGTGAGCTGAGATCGAGCCACTATACTCTGGACTGGGCCACTGAGCGAGTCACCATTTCCAAAAGAAAGAAAGAAAGAAGGAAAGAAAGAAAAGAAAGAAAAGAAAGAAAAGAAAGAAAAGAAAGAAAAGAAAGAAAAGAAAGAAAAGAAAGAAAAGAAAGAAAGAAAGAAAGAAAGAAAGAAAGAAAGAAAGAAAGAAACCTCTCCCTCCCTCCTGGATTACGGGTTTGTGTGGGACCTTGGGAAGGTAGTTTTCTTGCTGACACATGATTTTGCTTCAGTGACCTTTGGCCCAACTGACCTCCGGAACTGTTAGAGATAAGTTTATTGTTGTTTTCAGAGGGCTAAATTTCATTGACTTATTACAGCAATAGCAAACTAATACAGACTTTTGGCACCTAGAAGTAAGTACTGATGTGACAAACACTAAAATGTAGGAGTGGCTTTAGATTGGACAATGGAGAGGCTGAATTTTGGAAGAGCATGACCAAACCAGTAAAAACCGCAATCAACATATTCCAAAAGTTCACTAAACATCAGGCAGGATTAATACAAAAATTACATGAGTACATCATACGTTAAAATGTTAAGAACCAATGGAAGAAAAAGGAACATATTATATTTATATATTTCTCAATATGACCTAAGTCTTGACTTGTCAACAAAAACTGTGAAAGTCACAAGATTATGGAATAATACCTTCAAACATGCTAAAATATAATTGTTCTAAGACAAACCAATCTAAAACAAAAAAGTTGAAGAAAATAAAAGCACAGGACTGCTGGAAGGAATGAAGGGCACTAGAAAGAATAAATACAGATGGCAGACAAAAATGAACCAGTGACATAAAACCAAATCCATTAAACAAATAATGCATACTTTGACTCAACTATCCAAATGTAAAGTAATATCAGTGGCTAGTCTATGACATTTACACTGAGTTAGCATGGTAATATTATTTCTCAAGTATTAGTAACTGAGCAAATTGTCTTGATATATATATCAGTGCAGCGGCATGTTCTTGGCTCACTGCAATCTCGAACTCCTGGGCTCAAAAGATCCTCCCACCTCAGCCTTCTGATTAGCTAGGACAGGTGTGTGTCACACATCCAGAATTTTTAAAAATTATTTTTGTAGAGATGGGGTTTTGCTTTGTTGCCTAGGCTGGTTTCAAACTCCTGGCCTCAAGTGATCCTCTTGCCCCTAAGCCTGTGAAAGTGTTAAGTTACTGGTATGAGTCACCATGCCTGGCCCTTTAATAAACATAAGTCAGAACTATAAATGTTATGATTCATTGTATTTACTCTCCAACTATTATATTTATGATAAGGAATAAGCATTAACATTTTTGGAAGCAAAATTTGTTTATAAAGTTTTTGATGTCATCATTAAAATACTTTGCGAGGCTTATAAACATGTTTCTTTTGGTTTCAGATATTATATATTTAAATGTATGTGATGCACTTGAGCCAAAAACAACAAAATTTTTTTAAAAACAAGGACTAATTATCATAATATTCAGGATAGTAGCTATCTCAGTGAGAAAACCAAGAGATAGGGCCAAAGAAGAGTATGATAGATCCAGCAGTACTCAATATTAATCTACCTTGTAAGATGGGTATCAGGTTTAAAAACTTTCATGTCATTATTATGCATCAAAACTTACAGTAGAGATTTGGGGATAAGTGGTTAAAAAAACTTGCATAGTCCTTCATATGTACTAAAGGTTACTTAGAAAATTTAAAAGGACAGAGGTAATGGGAAATGAGAAAGTTTGATTTACTATTCCTGATCAAATGAATTAACAGAGATTTGTAGAAGAGAGTACATAATTTACCATTTCCTGTTCCACAACCATTGTGGATCTGCTGTAAACAAGGAACTGGCCGTGTTGTCAGATCTGAAGCTGCATGTAGGACATCTGCTGGCATGTATACGATTGATCTAAAGTCACCAAAATGTTTTCTGTTAGTTTAACATACAACATTTTAAGCTACAATAATTTCCTAATCATACTATATCCTCATAAAAAAGATGTGACAGAATAATTCCCCAATTGAATTTTGTCATCTAAAGTCTCTTGATGTGTTAAATTATTTTAAAACTTCCGTATACTACAGAAACATATTAAAGGTGCCAAAGAAAAGGCAGGATAACCAAGAGAGTAATGAAGGCATTGGAAAATGTTCTTAAGGTTGCTATTTTGTGGCTTTCAAAAATATCATGTAGTGTCTGGATTACAGAGACTCATGTTTGCACAAAGTGATTTTGTACACAGTTACAAATTCTAGTTATTAACATCACAACAAAAGGTCAAATACTATGTCTCCAGAACTTTGCTATAGGAATCAAGTGCTAAATATGTGAAAGCATCCAGCACAGTGTCTGACACATCATATATGATCAATAAAACATTAATTTTAAATTCAACTATGTGAAAGAGAGCAATGTGGCATAGTGTAAAGAGTATAGGCTTTAGAAGTCAGATAGACCTGAAACTGAAACAGTACTTTGGTATCTAGTTTTATAATCTTGGGAAAGATCCTTCTGAGTTTTACTTCTACCTATAAAGTATATAATAACTTACCCAAAAAAGTTGAATAGATAACCTATGTGAATCTAATGATTGCAGTTAACATCAATATCCAATAAAAAATTTAACACTTCAACAAATAGCAATGTATATGTATGCATTATTAGATAATATAATATTGTTTTGCCTATAGAAATGACATGGTGTCCACTGGGAACTTAATTATTATTAATAAATCACCACCTTTTACTGACCATTTACTAAAAATTCTGATATGTGCTTTACATGAATTATATCATTACTACCTATGGAGTAGGTACTATTGTTATTCTCATTCACAAAGTTTTGAAGTTTAGAAAAGTTAGGTCTAGAGACTATTTTCTTAATTAATATATCCTAATTCATTAAGCAGTGAAGACTCCTTTACCACCTCTGCCTTCATTCCACCTTTTCCTCTGAAGTCCATCTTAAAGCATCCCTATATTCCATTTATAAAATTCAACCACTTTTTTGAATGCACAATTTATAAGTGGGGTATAGTATATGTAACTCACCTTAAATTATTAAACAGTATTAGTGAGTTATGCCAATTGAAGAATAATTCACTATTTATAGAACTAATTTCTCAAGAAATGTGTCACATGGAGAAACTGTAGACAATACCTGCTGAACCAGTCTACCTTTCTAATACAGAACTCAGATTATATTCAAACACAATATGCAATAGCCATTAAATTATTCCATAAGTTGGAACACGATTAAAAACTGAAATTCTCAGTTATCAATTTAAACATTTTTAAGTGAATGATTTTCTGAAACTCTTGACTAACTTTTAAAAAGATAAAGTACTCAGGCAATTAATTTTAAAAAATATAAATGTATGCTATATAACAACCAGAGTGAAAAAGCAGATTATAAATATGTATCAATATTATAATACCTTTACAAAAAATAAATTTATGTAAGAACTCTTGGAGAATATATGCAAAATGTTAACAAAAAAACAGACAAACAAAACGTTAACGGTAGTCAGTTAAATCTAGGTAGTACAATACAAATTTTCTTTTTAAATCTCCATTTAAAAATTTTCAGGCCAGACGTGGCAGCTGACTCCTATAATCCCAGCACTTTGGGAGGCCGAGGCAGTGGATCACGAGATCAGGAGTTCAAGACCAGCCTGGCCAACATGGTGAAACCCCATCTCTACTAAAAATACAAACAATTCGCTGGGCGTGGTGGTGGGCACCTATAATCCCAGCTACCTGTGAGGGCTGAGACAGACGAATCACTTGAACCCGGGAGGCAGAAGTTGCAGTGGGCCAAGATCACACCATTGCACTCCAGCCTGGATGACAAGATCAGAAAGACTCTGTCTCAAGAAAAAAAAAAATTTTCAAACATGCAGTTTTAAAGTGTTTAAGGGACCATCCTGAAGAGAAAGACGATAAAGGGATTTCAAAACCCATATTATTTGAACCCAAATAATAAGATATGTTAATACTTACAAGGAATGTCTCGATAGCCATTTTCTAATGCACGAAAATAGTTCACTGTAAATTGTTAGTGGAATTTTAAATATTCCAATAAACCAGTGTCTTGAAATAAGGTATACATAACCTAAATGTCAATTAAAATAAAGTTTACTTTAAAAATCAGAATTTCTATTTGTAGCTGAGTATAATGTTTCCGTGATTTGTATTTTGAATCTTAACCATGTATTAATACATGTCTTTAAGTTAATAATTTATTTAAAACTTGCCTACATTAATTCTTTCAAAAATCAGAATGGAAGATATCACCCTAAAGCCCCTAAAAATTAAAGAAGGCTTACCATACATATCATGTCCCAATTTTTAAATTTTTCCATTCTTTTCCTTAACTTTATTTAATTTACTGAAGGTCATGTGAATTCTAATCTAGTCCTGGGTATTAAAAAGAAAGTCAAAACAATACTGTGTTTATCACATTTTTATCCTAAGGACTTCAATGAGATAGACATATATCTTTCTAAAATTTATCTTAACATATTTTGCATTTCATAAATAAGATATTAAAGTAATTAATGAGAGTAATATTTTGGGGCGGTTAATCTAGTGCTGTTATGCGGAACCATCAAATTATAGCCTGAGTCTCATTAGTAAAATCAAAGTATTTTCCCATAGTTCTAGCATGAAATGAACCATCTGACCTTGAGTAAAGTATAGGGAGGGCAGGGTGGAAAAATTAAGCTTAAATTTCAGTGGTTGAAACTAGATGATTTTTCATGTCCTTTTCAACCTCAACATTCAAGAAAATGTAAATCTTTATTATTTATTAACATAAATTAAATCCCATTAATATAGTCAAATAAACTACTTGTCATATATATAATAGTATGATCTACATCTTATATGTAATTGTTTTATGTATATATTTAATTTTTTCTGAAAAATAACTTAATAGATTGGTATCCAGTTGAACTAGTGCCTAAACCATTATATGTGAATTTACTTTTTATAAAGATTTAAGAAAATTTAATTTACAGTTAAAAAGTAGATATTTGAAAGCAAACCTGACTGAGAATCCTTCCTGATTTCTCTCCCATCTTTTCTACAAGTTCAAAAATTGGAAAATTCCAGTTGCTCATCTTCTCTATTAATGAGTCATACTCTTCTACTAAAATCAGGTCCAGTGATACTTCCTGTTCAATCTGTACATACAGAAAAACAACAACTTTATTGTATCTTTTATAAATACTGTGAAATATACATTAAAATGAAACACTTAAGTTAAACATTAAAAAAGTCTGTACTATTTTCTATAGTAGTTATTCTTAAATATAATCTTATCTGCCCTTCTAATTTCTCTTTCTAGAATGTTATCTTCAGACAAACACATAACTCCTGGGTGTGGGCATTATCTTTCTCTCCCTCGACTCCATCTCCTCTTCATCCTCATCCGTCTGTCTTTCATTTCAATGGCCACATCCCTCCGGCCCTCTCCATATTGCCATTCTCTCAAATAATTTCACGGTTGCTTGTGTTCGTTTGCAGTGGCATTGCATGTTATGTGCTATTCACATGTGCAGAAAATGTCAGATGAAAATATTTTCATATAAAGCTAAATAAAATATCTTCATTTAAAACTGAATGCAGTTTGTTGCTTTAGGATGATAGAATTAGAACAAGTTACTGTATTATTTGTAACTTAGCTTAATGTTCAGTTATAGTCACTTATCAGTAAAACAATTTAAAAATGCTTGTTCTGGGCCAAAGTAATAAAACCAGTACTAACAATATTATATTTCACCTTAACATAATCATATTGAAAGTTTATCTTTTACATTTGTTTGCTGTTCATTCTGTACCTCTTCTATTGTGAAGTATGCACTTCTCAAATAATTTTCTGTCTTTCTTCTCTGTTCCTCTTCTTGTTGAGTTTCCATAAGTTTGAATGATTCTTTTGAGAAAATGTTTTCTTCTTCACCTTTCAAAAAAAATATATAGTAATAGATAGGAGTAAAATGTACCTATATGTACACTTTACATGAAAATAATTATTAAAAATATTTACATAAAGTAAATCATATTAGAGTTCAATCTAAATTATTTCATGACACCATTAAGTTGTATCTTGCTGTGCTGTTTGCCTAGATACCTTATGCTCCAGGCAGCAAAGACATTTTCCTGTATTGGACTCCTTTCCACCATATCTACTCATGGATCCTAGTGGATATTTTATAAAAGTAGGGAAAGAAAAGGTTCTATCAATAGAATTTTCTTGCCAATTTGATATAAACAATTTCCAACACCTCTGAGTTTTAGATGAAGTTCTAAAATCATAATTACAAATCAGTAAGATTAAATCACATATGAAACCTTAAACCACAATATTATAAATTGTGAGTTATATCTCTACCAATGTAATAATTTTTCTCAAATCATAGAAGGACAGCAGTATTTGTAGCTAAATAGTATTCATTCACATGTTAAAAAACATTTCATATTCATTCTGTTGTAATACACCTTAAACAGGAAATTACTCAGAACCTATCGACAGTAGAATAAACAACTTGTGGTATAGTTACACAATTGATCACTACAGAGCAAAGAGAATGAACTTCTGTCAGATACTGCTTAAAATGTAATGTTCAGTGAAGGAAGCCAGGCACAAAGTACATACTCTGTGGTCTATCTTTAAGAAAAGTTCAAAAGCGTATGAAAGACAAAAGATCATTACCTTTAGGGCATATGATTGGAAAGAGGTCATGATAGGTAATTTTGAAATTATAGGTAATATTTGTTTCTTTTAGAAACAGCATATCTTAAGAGTTCAGAGTACATATGCAGGTTTATTATATAGGTAAATTTGTGTCATGGAGTTTGTTGTACAGATTATTTCATCACCCAGGTACTAGGTCTGAAGTACCCAGGTACTATTTTTTCTGATTCTCTTCCTCCTCCCACCCTCCACCATCAGGTAGGCCCCAGTATCTGTTGTTCTCCTCTTTATGTGCATGTGTTTTAGTCATTCAGCTCCCACTTATAAGTGACAGTACCAGGTTTCTTATTCTATCATGATTGACTCCGGCTCCATGCCTCTGCAAAAACATTACCTCAGTCTTTTTATAGCTGCATAGTATTCTATGATGTATATATACTACATCTTCTTCTTTGCCTTTTCTTTTAGAAAAACTACCATAATCATTTATTACTTGTTCTACTATGGTATATGGATGGGCCAAACTCATACAGTAAAATAGAATCTGGATTCAAGTCGGAATCTCTCTCAAACAGTCAACCTCACTACTTCTAGCTGTGATTTTTTCATTTGTTCTTTATTTTTAGTTTAGTGGTATAGGAGTGCAGGTTTGTTACATAGGTAAGCATGTAACAAAGAGGTTGTTAATATAGATTGTTTCATTACTCAAGTAATGGCCCAGTGCCCATTGGTTTGTCTTCCTGATCCTCCCTCCTGAGGAGGCCCCTGTGAGTGTGTGTTGCTCCCTCTCTGCGTGTCCATGTGTTCTCATCATTTGGCTCTCACTTATAGAGTGAGAACATAACAATATTGATTTTCTGTTCCTGTGGCTAAGGATAATGGCCTCAGTTCCATTCATGTCCTACAAAGGACACAATCTCTTTCTTTTATGGCTGCATAGTATTCCATGGTGTATATGTGCCGTATTTTCTTTATCCAATCTATCACTGGTGGATATTTAGGTTGATTCCATGTCTTTTCTATTGTGAATAGTGCTGCAATATACATACACATGCATGTGTCTTCTTTATAGCAGAATGACTTATATTCCTTTGGATATGTACCCAGTAATGGGATCGCTGGGTCGGATGGTATTTCTGTTTTTAGGTCTTTGAGGAATCACCACACTGTGTACCACAATCACTGAACTAATTTACACTCTACACACCAACAGTGTACAAGTGTTTTTTTCTCCCCAACATCGTAGCATCTGTTATTTTTACCTTTTTAATAGCAGCCATTCTGACTGGGTGTTAGATGGTGTTTCATTGTAGTTTTGACTTGCATTTGTCGCGATCAATGATGTTGAGCTGTTTTCATATGACTGTTGGCCCCATAGCATGCCACTGATAATTATCTTGTTCCATATTCCCACTTTTTATCATTGTGCATCCCCCCTTATTTCCAAGTTAATATAGTGCTGGATATTGACCTTTATCAGATCTGGTTTACCAAAATTTTCTCCAAACTTACTATTCTAAGTTCTGTCTTATTTATTCTATTGATGAGTTACTTTACCTTTCAGCTCTTTAGTATAATTATATTCACATTTATCAAGTTTGTTTTTGTTATGATTGCTTTTGGCATGTTGTCATGAAATCTTTGCCAGTATCTATATCAGAGATAGTATTGCCTCAGTTATCTTTCAGAGTTTTTATAGTTTTGGGTTTTTTACATTTAAGTCTTTATAAATCTTTAGTTGATTTTTGTATATAGTGTAAGGAAGGGATCCAGTTTTAATCTTCTACATATGGCTAGCCAGTTATCCCACCACCATTTATTGAATAGGCAGTCCTTTCCCCATTGCTTGTTTTTGTCAGCTTTGTCAAGATCAAATGGTTATAGGCATGCGCCCTTATTTCTGGGCTCTCTATTCTGTCCCATTGGTCTATGTGTCTGTTTCTGTACCAGTACCATGTTATTTTGTTACTGTAGTTTTGTAGTATATATTTGAAATCAGAGTAATATGATGCCTCCAGCTTTGTTCTTTTTGCTTAGGATTGCCTTGGCTATCAGGCTCTTTTTGGTTCCATATAGATTTTAAAATAGCTTTTCTGTTTTGTGATGAATTTCACTGGTAGTTTTGTTAGGAATAACACTGAATCTATAAATTACTTTGAGCAGTATGACCATTTTAATGATATTGATTCTTCCCTATCCTCAGGCGGACTGTTTTCCATTTGTTTGTGTCATCTGCTTTATTTTGGGCAGTGTTTTGTAATTCTCATTGTAAGTCTTTAATCTCCCCACAAATTCCTTTCCTCTTCCTAAGATAATTTATTATGTTTTGTGGCAATTGTAAATGGGATTGTGTTCCTGGGTTGGCTCTTGGTTGGCTGTATTAGTGTATAGGAATGCTAGTTATTCCTGTTCATTGATTTTGTATCCCAAAACTCTGCTGAAGTTACTTATTAGCTTAAGCAGCTTTTTGAGCCAAGACTATAGGGTTTTCTAGATATAGAATCATGTCTGCAAACAGGGATAGTTTGACCTCCTCTCTTCCTATTTGGGTGCCCTTTATTTCTTTCTCTTGCCTGATTACTGTGGTCAAGACTTCCAAGACTATGTTGAATAGGAGTGAGTGAGAGAGGAGCATCCTTGTCTTGTGCCCATTCCAAGGAATGCTTCCAGTTTTTGCCCGACAGTATGATGCTGGGCTGTGGGTTTCTCCTAGATGGTTCTTATTATTTTGAGGTATATTCCTGTAATACCTAGTTTATTGAGTTTTTAACATGAAGGGATGTTGAATTTTATCAAAAGCCTTTTTCTGCATCTATTGAGATAATCATGTGGTTTTTGTCTTTAGTTCTGTTTGTATGATGAATCACATTGGCTGATTGCATATATTGGAGACAGCCTTGCATCCCAGGGATGATCATAGTGGATTAGCTTTTAAGTGTGCTGCTGGATTTGGTTTGCAAATGTTTTGTTGAGATTTTATCCAATTTTTCATCAGAATAACTAGCTGGTTTGTTTTTTCTTGTGTCTCTGCTACATTTTGGTATCAGAATGATGCTGGCCTCATAAAATGGGTTGAGGAGAGTCCTTCTCTCATTTTTATAATACCTCAGTCCTTCCTCTTCAGTTTTTGTACCTGCATCAGTATAAATAATACCAGCTCTCTGCCTCTCGCAGGCTCTCTCGGGACCGTCATCAATCTCCCATCAGTTTGAGGTGTGTGTTTATGGTTGTGTACGAAATTCTTTTTTTCTAGTACGTGAAAGTATTATAATGATATACAGTAGTTGTATTTGATTAGTACTTTCCCTTTATCATTCTAGTATTTTATTTGGATCTTCTCTCTTGCTATTGTATTTGTCTAGTTGTAGTCTATTTATCTTACTAATTTTTTAAAAACTCAACTCCTGGTTTCATTCATCTTTTGGATGGTGTTTTTGTGTCTCAATCACTTTCAGTTCAGCTCTAATTTTGGCTATTGTATTTTCTGTCAGCCTTGGGTTGGTTTGCTCTCTCTTCTCTAGTTATTTTAATTGATATCAGGTTGTTAATTTGGGATCTCTCTAGCACTGATATAGGTGTTTAGTGCTATAAGTTTCTTTATTGCCTGCCTTAGCTGTGTCCCAGAGATTTTTGTAAGGTTGTATCTTTGTTCTCATTCGTATTAAAAACCTTCTTGATTTCTGCCTTAATTTCATTGTTTGCCCAAAAAGTCATTCAGGGCAAATTCTATTTCGTATAATTGCATGGTTTGATTGATTTTTAGTCTTGATTTCTATCTTTGTTGCTGTAGTCCAGGAGTATGTTTGGCATGACTTCAGTTCTTTTACATTTGCTGAGGATTGTCTGATTGATTTTCGAATATGTACCATGTGGTAATGAGAAAAATGTACGATCTATTAGTTTTTTGGTGGAGAGTTCTGTAGAAGTCTGCTTCAGATCATTTGGTCCCATATTGAATTCAGGTACTGAATATGTTTCATTATTTCTTTACTTAGTGATCTTCTGCCCAGTGGGTGATCCCACTATTGTTATGGCAGAGTCTAAGACTCTTTGTAGATCTCAAAGAACTTGGTGTAAATCTGGGTACTCCTGTGTTTGGTGAATATGCTATTTAAGAATGAATTGAGTCTGATTGAATTGAACC